ATTCCCGAGGGAGTCACTAAGCATCATGAACTAAGGATCCTGCTTGGATTGGATGGAGGAAAAGAAAGGGAGGTACTTCCTGTGTGGTTCTTATAGGGGATGGAGCCCAGAAGGCCACAGACTTAAGGGTAGAAACAAAGCTAGACACTGATTTCCAGGGTAGGGTTGCTTTAGATGTTAACAGCATGAGCTATCAGCTCCTTCACTTACTAGTTGTGTAATCTCAAATTATAGAGCCTCCCTGTGTCATCTATCAAATGAGGGTAATAATTTCATAGGATTATTCAGATGATTAAAGAGCTAACATGAATAAAGGGCTTAGAATAATGCTTGGCACTTGGTACACACTCAATAAATGTTTGCTACTAGTATAATGACTCTGCGTCATCTGTTGTCCTACTCAATTTACACACACACACACTCCTTAAATCATCACTTCACTTCTACAAAGAAATAGTTACCTCTGTTTCACATAGGAGATCACAATCTCTAAGAATTAAGGCTCTCCACCTGGGAAGTTGCCAAGTAGGGATGCAAACTGTGTGTGAATGTGTGAACACAAGGCCCCTGTCCCTCCTACACTAACTTATGAGTTAAGACTTAGAACTTGTGGGTTCTCCAGTGCAAATCTAAGCTTTCCCGAGGCTGACTTTTTTTGTTTGTTTGTTTTTAAACTTTGGAGTAGCACTCAGGGTAAATGTAACAGAATTTAAAATTTCCTCTGTTGGGCTGTTAGACTGGTGAACTGTCCAAAAGATTAGATTCTAAGTACAGAAAAGGTTATTATGTTTCAGATAACATTGATTTCCTGGACATATCTGACTAGACCAGAAATCAAAACTCTAGCTTTCGACTGGGCAGACACAAAAGGCCAACAGTCAATGGGAATGACCTTGAAAGAGAAAGAATTCTATCTAAAAGTGTTTCTTTAAATTAAATACAGACTAAATAACCCAATCAGATCTCACTCAGAGGTCTAAAACTCACAGTGAACAGCAGACAGAAAAATACTAGAAACAAAAAGAAGTAAAACTAAGAAGTTAATCATAAGAATTATGGCATCAGATTAGGGAACAACAGAAGTTAAGTCATTGTATGAGGGGAAGACACATCAGAGGTAAAGGTATATAAGAAATGTTTTATAAATTACTAAAGTTTTCTTTAAAATACCAACTTGGGGAATGTTATATTAAATTATAATAATAAAAAAAAAAGGGCACAGAACTCATGTTTTGAAACGACCCTCCTTTTACATTTGGGCTAAATAGATGATTAGGTAATGGAAAACAACCTTTCACTAATTTCTGATTCTGAAAAACAGGAGTCAGTCCAAAAACAGCATATGATCAGGATCCATCTGCACAAAAGCCTAACACTGCAAATGAAGTGAAGAGCTCAATATGGTTGAATCATTATCAATGTTTCCATGACACTTTAAGAGAAGCATAAACATGGTGGGGCAGGGGGTGGCTACCTCCTTGATTTGGTCTATTATTATTCAAATCTTAAGACTCTCAACTGGCATTCTAAGTAATTCTTCTAAATAATGGTGGAAATTAATTTCTGTGTTACGATTTTTTTCAGGGATTATTCACCATAAATCAATATTTATTTCCACTAAAGAACTAAAGTAGATTGCTTTTTTCCTTTAATCCACCTGGAAATATTTCTTAACCCAGAACAGAGGCCTTAGTATTAAAGGGCTTCTTTAATTTATATTAATCTATTGTTAAATTATTAAAATAAATTTAAAAATTAAATTAATAGATTTTTATTTTTTAATAATATTTTTACCCATTATTTTTAAAGTAATAAATACTTAGGGTGAAAAACCTAAGAATTCAGGACGTTCATGGTAAAGGGTGAAAATATCCCCTTCCTACATATTGTCCAGGCTGCAGTTGCCTCCTAACAGGTAAACATTTTTGACAGATTTTGTGCCCTACGTGACAAGTCATCTATGCACATTCAAGGAAATGTGTAGATACATAAATACACATATATCCTTTCCAGTGCACAAATGAGTTTACACTATCCACACTGTTCTGCCACTTTATTTTTTTCCTTAAAGTAACATTGACATCAGCCTCATTCTTTCAACAATGGCAGAATAATCCATCATAGAGGTGAACCATAATTCATTTAAACAGTCCTGTTCTAATGGACATTTATCCACTAGAACTATCTCCATTTTTTTTTGGTGTCATAAACCATATTGTAACAAACATCCTTTCATATATTTTTGTGCACTTCTGTCAGTATATATGTAGGATAGATTGCCAGATATGGACCTGGTAGGTCAAAGAAAATGTGCATTTAAAAATTTAATGGATAGTTTAAAGGGCAAATATAATTATATTTCTTTACACATACCTGCTTTAAAAGATGCACTGCATTTTAAAATAATAAAAGGCATTTTATTAAAAATTCTATATTTCAATAAAGACTATCACTTAAGCCAATTTTGTCAAATCTTATCAATGATAAAGGCTCTTCATATCTTCATATGACTTTCTTGAAGAACCAGATGCTTTACAGAAATAGGTATTACGTACAATAACCTAAGACAAATGTAGGAAAAGGGAAAAGACAGCA